GTAAATTTTATAAGTATAATAAGTGATAGATAACTTTGTCATGTATTAAATAATGCGTTTATTAAAAACGCTCTAAAGATATTAAAATTTGATTTGTAATCAAAAGTTTAAGCTTAGATCAACTTTTTGACGAAATTTTATCCTTAAATATATTCTTTGAAACATTAAAAAAGAAAAGTCTGCAGATAAAAATTAAAAAAGTATTCTTAAACGTTGTATTCGTGTACTATATTGTAAAATATAACTTGACAACACTGCTTTATCCTTATTCTATTACTCATTACTTTTTTATTATCTTCTTTTTGCTATTCTTCTTGTATGATCAATTTCTCAAGCTAAATTCAATCTAACGGAATAAATAGTTACATATGTACATACGTATGTACAATACACAAAGAACCAATTCAATCAATAGAAGAAATTATGTTTTTTTTTTTTTTTTGGTTCTGACCAAAATATAAGCTAAAGCTTTTTACTCGTCCCCTCTAACCGACAAATCTATTTTTGTGTAATACACACTACACTCTCCAAAATGAGTGGTAATATTATTACATACTTTGTTATTTGTGTAAAGTTTTATTATTCGTCAGATACCTATAGAAATGTACATTTTTATTATCATTGCCAAAAATAGTCATCAACCCCTTGGTGCAATACGGCTTAATTTAGCATATAGTAGTGGAATTTATGTCTCATCAGAGGAAGAAAGAATGCAGATTTTCGTAACAAAAAAAATAACAAAATGACGTCGACTTACCGTTTTTTATTTTTTATACAGATTTCAACTTTGTGGTTATTTACCAAAAGAAAATTGTACGTCTCTGCGTATAATGAACTTCCGCAGTTTTACAACGCCCAATTTTAATTTAGTTAACAAATTATTTAAGTTTTTTATTATTTCTATCTATTTTATTGATTTTACGTTCACTTAGATGTGGTTATAAGATTCATAGTATGCTGTTATTTGAAATATTTTATGTTTTTGAAGCAGACGCGAAACAAACTTCGATTTTTCACTGAGCAGAAAAATGTTTTTTTTCACACACACACACAAATGAAATAAGGGAAAATAAAGCAATTTGTAAAAATGATGCGACGCAACTTTAAATAAATAGTATAAATAACAATTTACGCGTAAAATAAAAATGATACACAATTACTTATTTTCCAAAGTAAATTACTTCTGCAAAAATATTTTTCTGAATCAGAATAACTGGACTAAACGTCCATATTTGCAACAATGCAAGACGGAACCCTGTGACGACGGACATTAACGACGTTGGCGGCTGACACTATAAATTTCGGCGGCGGCTTACAATCGACTCTAAGCCGGCTATGTTTTTAGCTAGGTTTTTTATTTTTTGAACGAAATTGAACAAAGCGGTGATTTTAAATGAAAATATTTTGAATAATCGAGATTTTGAAAATTACCATATTGTATAAAATAATTATTTAATAGAACAATATAAAAACAAGTAAATCACAAACACATATGTATATCAAATGAATGGCCTCCAAAATTTTTCGTTGAAGATCGATTGTAGATTTAGATCCTCTAGATTTGGGATCTTTAGAAAATTGTTTTCAACATACATACTAAAGAAAGATCATTTAAAAATCTACATTTTACATTTTTTGTTCGGTTTAAAATTGTATATGTAAAGTGTGTGTGTTTACTTGAAAATGTAAATTTTTACCCCCTTATTCATAAACATTTTATTTTATAAAAGGTTTATAAAACAAAATGTCCATACGAAATTTGATTTATTAATCGTTTATAAAATAAAATTGTGTTTATAAATAAGGGGATCAATAGATATGAGGTGAATAAAATTTTACTAGCTCATCGGGCTACATAAATTTTTGACAATTGAAAAGAAAAATCTGAAAATACAAAAAATAAAATATTTTATAATTTTAGTTTGTAATACATTTGTCATGATGTAATAAGTATATATATATATATATATATATATATATATATATATATATATATATATCAGACCTGGGATAAATGCATTAAATGTGTTAATGCATTAACAATTTATTCTACATTAAAAAAAATTAATGTTAATGCAAGTTTATTGCATTAACATTAACATGGGTACATTTAATGCATTAAATTTGCATTAACATTAAATATTTTTAAATTTAGTGCATTAATTTTACATTAACATTAAATATTTGTGAAATGAATGCATTCATTTTGCATTAACACTAAATATTTTTGAATTTAATGCATTAATTTTCCAATAACATTAAATAATAAATAATAAAATTAATGCATTAATTTTCCATTAACATTAATGTATAAAATAATTTATAAAAATAGGAATACAGCGCTAAAGACCTCGGTCTAACTAAATTCAAATAAAATTGAATGTGTTTAAGTCCTTTCTAATAAGTCCTATACTCGATAATACATATTAGAAGAATAGTATCACTTCCCAGATATTCCTTTTTTAGTTTATTTTGTTAAAGTCCTTTCTAATATGTACTATACTCGATAATACATATTAGAAGAATAGTATCACTTCCCAGATATTCCTTTTTTAGTTTATTTTGTCTGTGGAATCTCATATAAATATCATATTTAAAACACACAAGTTTGAATGGAATATAGGAGTTATTAGAAAGGACTTTAACCTTTTTAATTTTAGTTGTATTTAGTTAGATCGAGGTCTTCTGTGCTGTATTTTTATTTATGTGTATCAATTTTTATATATATTAATGTTAATGGAATATTAATGCATTAATTTTATTGCTTATTTAATGTTAATGTAAAATTAATGCACTAAATTCAGATATATTTAATGTTAATGCAAAATTAATGCATTAATTTCAAAAATATTTAATGTTAATGTAAAATTAATGCATTAAATTCAAAAATATTTAATGTTAATGGAAATTTATTGCATTAAATTTTACAAATTTAATGTTAATGCAATATTTTTTACATTAAATTAATTTTTTTTTAATTTAATGTTAATGCAAAATTAATGGAAATCGCCCAGGTATATATATATATATATATATATATATATATATATAGTAAATACTTAGTGCATCCTGACATTTGTGATTGTAGAAATTTATTTTAAAAATAAAAAAATCAATAAAAGTGTTTCTTTTATTAAAATAAATGTAGATTTTCTTGTGAAATTAGTGACAATTGTGAAAATTCAAAAAAGATTTCGTTTGGCACAGCAAAAGTGATAATATTTTCCACCATAAGAAAATTTTATATTACCATAGAACTTTGCTACCGTTTGGCACACAGTCGTAGTGAGGAAACATAGTAGTTTTTGTAATATATTTTTATCCTTAAAGTTCAGGCATAATATTCTCCAAATCTTTTTAAGTAGTGTGACCCCGTTTGTAAGGAGGAATATATAATGTATCCGTTATTAAAAAATGTTTTGGAATTAGTATGTATTTGGTTAGCTATATTTAGAAAAACCCGTAATAGTTTAACTATTTTATATTTATTTTTATATTTCCCGCAAAAGAAAGACCTCCGTTCCTTTTTTATAGCGAAATTTTCAAGACGTTTTAAGCTAAAAAGCTTTCTGCGCCGGCAGCTTTCTTCGGCGGCTAGGCTTAGTCTTTAAGTTTAATTTGCAATCTCTGTGAATGGTAAACACTCTAAGATTTTTTTTGTATTGTTGTTGCTGAGGTTGACAGCCCTTGGCCCAATAATACGGGTCATCCCGTACGTAGAACCGGCTGTCGGGGAATGTCAAGGAACACAATGTCATGTTAACTAAACAGTTCCTCCTGGGATGTCATCCCAATTTAAACATCACACAATTGGATACTCCCCCGAGGCATGTCGGGAAGGATCTTCGTATATACGAGGAAAACATATGCAGATATGTGCGGGATCCACTGTATCAGTCCTCGTATTCGGCAGCTTTGAACGACATTCATAGAGACGCCATAAATTCATTGTTCGCAGGATACCGCATGAATGTCGTACTTGGAGGTCGCCCACCGCCCATAGCAGACACGGAAGAAGACCTGCCGCGGAAAACAAGAGTAGTTCTGGCACAACTAAGATCGGGATGGAGCAGCAGGCTCAATGCCTACTGGTCACGTATAGACCGTGCCGTCCCCAACGAATGTCCTGCATGTGGTCAGGGTACTCATGATACCCACCACATATTCAACTGCTCAGCCAACCCTACTTCACTCTGTCCAATGGATTTATGGACGTATCCAGTTGAAGTAGCCCAATTTAGGCCTGGACATTGATGTAGAACCCCCCAACTAGATTATTGTATAGTTTTAGCTGTTACAACAACAACAACTTTAAGATTTCAAAAATCACCAAAACCGGATATTTCTCATAAAAGTTATTTTCAAAGAAAATGTCAATATACGAGAACAAATTTAGACTGCCGGTTGCTCTAAATGCGAAAGAACATTTTATTTCTTACAAATATATTGACATTTTTTTCAATATATTTATAAGAAAATGTGTTTTTGATATTGTGAAAGAGGCAAAGAATTTGATCTAAATTAAGTAGATCTGAGGCTGGTGGAAATTCAATTTTTAATTTCTTATATTTTTTTCTGATTTGATTATGTACAAAAATATCGGTCCCATGGCGTACTAAATACAAGGTGATGTCGATGAAACAGCTGTTTATTTGAACTGTGATAGACAAATGCTTGTGTTTGTTGCAGCGAAAACACAATAATTTACCTATTTTTTGATCAAAATTTCGACAAAAAGTTTATTTATATGTATAACCCTGAGATGAATAATATTATTTTTATAAGCACTTTTTAGGTCTATCATGAATAAATATCTTTGTTTCAAATCACCTTATTAATCTTACCATGGTCTAAATCAGGGCTAACATAGTGAAGTAGAGTTGTATTTTCGTGTATTATATTTTCGTACAATTTTGTAAAACTTGTTAGCACTGTTCTATCAGTGATAAAACTAACAGTTTTTTTGTGCTACCAAGTTCGGTAAAAATAAAAATGGCGACATAATATTTTTGTGAAGCCGCCGTGTTCGTTCAGATTTTCTAATAGATTGTGAAAAAGAAAACAATTTTAATAAAAAATAATTATACAAATAAGATATAATCTATTATTATTCAAGTTTATTTTTGCTGTGTGAGAAAGTTACTTAAGAAAATTCCTATTATAACTTTATATATTAAAAGTGAAAAATAAAACGAAGGCGTAGAAAAACGTCTGTCTCATACGACATTGTGCGTAAAACCGAAGAAAACCTAAGAAAGTGGAAAAATGCAATTTCATTAATATTATGTATATAAAAAGTTCTTAAAAAAGGATGAATTTCCAAAATAAATAATTTAAATAAAATAGCTAAAAAACGTCTCACAGGTGTGACCCCCATGTATTTTTGCAAATGCAGTAATCACCATTAAATGAAAAGAGACAAAACAAAAAAAATCGAGGGAGATTTTTAATGAGAATTTCTTTGCAACAATTCAAGATTGCCTTAAAAATTGTAAAAAAACGTGTTATCTGCAACGTTCTGCATTTTAATAAAGTGCGTTTCTTCAACTAAGAAAAGAGGATTATTTTTAATTGAACACAATTCAAGGTATGTTTAACATAAATAGAAGAGAATAATTGGTACACGATGGGAATGAATTGTATCTTGCATTTTTGTTAGAGCAAATGGTTGAAATGGAATATTTTAACTTATATGGCAACTCTTGTAACGGTAACAACCAGTCATCATGAATAAAAACAGAATATTTACATTATTATATACATATATGTATGTATGTATGTATAATTATTGTATGCATAATCATAAATGTATGTACATTAATGCTATTATGAGCAGAGACCAGCGACGATTCGGCTGAAAATGGTCTTAGCCTAGCCGCCGATAAAATTAAAAGTTGCCGGCGTTGATTTTTTTTATCAAAAGACTTCTTAAAAATTATTGACATTTTGTAGGTTGTGGACCTGTTCGAAAATGTGTCACCGCACTGCATCTGATCCGCAGTGCGTTCATAAATGCATCACATAAATGTATAATGCGCAAATAGTGAATGTAACATGCATAAAATGTCCATCTGTTTATTTGTAATCAGCATCGCAAACTCCGATCAGGTCCTTTCATAATATGAGATTTCACAAAATTTTACAATTAAAATTTATTAATTTTTGTGAATAATAAGCTAAAAAATTTGAAGTACCATATGTACATTTTGCATTAATATGTGTATGTAACAAGGAAAAAAATGGAAAAATAACTATTTCAAGATATTAAATTTGGTCAAATTTCAAATGGCTAAAAATAAGCACAATTTATTCAATAAAGAAATATAAATATTTCAAACATATGTTTTGGTCTATTGAAAATTTCAATTTGAAATTTACTTTTAAACATAGTATAAAGGCGGCTTAAAAATTATTGACATTTTGTAGGTTGTGGGTCTGTTCATAAATGTGTCACTGCACTGCATCTGAAATCTAGTACATTTACGCATTACAAAAAAATAAAACTTATGCATAAAATGCATAAGCATCGTAAACTCCGATCAGGGCCTTTCTTAATATGACTTAAACTGGTGCAGTGAATTAAACTTATGTATAAAATGCCCATCAGTTTATTTGGCATGAGCATCGCGAACTCCGATCAGGACTTTTCTTAATATAAGGTTTCACAAAAATTTTACAATTAAAATTTATTTCTTTATGTAAATAAAAAGCTGATACATTAGAGTGTCCTAAGAAACAGGCTTTTTAACAATTTCATGTAGGAATACCACTCAATCGATGCGTACCAGAGATGGGTGTAGTGCACTATTTTTTAGTTAAATCAATATTTCACTAGCACTAAATATTATTTCAAAAAATATATTTTTCACTAATTTTTAGCAGCTTAGCGATAGTCAAGCTTATATTTTTAACACTAATATTTTTTAGTGATAATATTATTTTTTTAACTATAACTCAATTGAGTGGTAGTGTAGAAAAAAGCACTACACTCAAATAGTTAAAAATTTGAACAGTCACTAACAAAAGGCTGCAATAATTTTCTTTGCACTAATTTTTTTTAAATGAAAATTAAAGAATTTGTAAGACAATAAATGATTAATTTTTTAAAATATAGGTACATCTATTAAAATGGAAAATACAGATTTAGATAGCCAGTTGCAAAAATGATGTGGTTACTGGGAGTTTTTTAAGCAACAGCTTGGAAATTTTGTAAATAATGAAAGTTTTATTAATTTATAATATTCGTCCAACGAGTTTTTGGTTGACTTGAACCATTTCTAGACTGACCTATTAACTTAAACTTTCAATTGAGTGAAACATTTCTACGTAGAAAAAAAAAAATAGTGCAGGAATATTTTTTGAACTAATAATTTAGTGTAGAAAAATTATTTCACTAGGATTTAAAAACAAATATTTTAACTATTTTTAAAATATTTTTAGTTAAAAATTGTAAATATTACTATTATTATTGAGTGAGGCTTATATTTTTCAATGCATCACTAAACTTAAATAAAAGTAGTAAATAATTCAATAGGGATATCAAAATCTATACTGACAGCCAAGCCGCCATCAAATCCCTGATAGGTGTTTACTCCGCATCAAAACTTGTCCAAGAATTGCCAGGCGCCTCTAAACGAGATGGCGAGACATTCAAGAATTACCCTCGTTTGGGTCAAAGGACACGGGGATATAATGGGCAATACTATTGCTGATATCTTGGCGAAAGCTGGTACGAGGATGGCCATACTGGATATAGACCAATTCTGCGGCGTCCCCCTAGCGGCCATTAAGAAACAAATATACAACATTTGTTTTAGTTTAGCTCAAGATCGGTGGTCTCAAGAACACACTTGCTTGACTGCTAAGTTGCTATGGCCCTGTATGGATCCTTATAAAACATCCTACATATTAGGGCTTAGTAGAACACATCTGAGCACTCTGTTATCAGTTCTTACTGGTCATTCCAAGTTCGGAAACCATGCAAGACGCATTAGTCTTCCATACAATGAATTCTGTAGGAGCTGTCAAAATGAAGAAGAAACAATTACTCATCTTCTGTGTAATAGGGTCGGTATATTTTTCTGATCTATGGGATCTATCAACTGTTCAACTTGAACGTATTCTAGCATTCTTAAAACTGTCGAAATGGGTGTGTAATTGATCACACACTATGATCCTCACTTCTCTTATAGGCTCGCTACTATCTCTTTTTATTCTTTTTATTTTTCAGTTCTTAAATACTACCCATTACTGTCTCTATCGCTTCTCTCTCCTTTCCGTATCTGTTTTCTTTCCAGGCATTACAAAGGGACCTAATTTGGACCCAAGTAAAGTTATACTTTTCTAAGTATACAGTCTGCTGAACCTAACCTAATGTACTGAATACGAGAAAAATAAAAAAATTTTTTTTTGGAATGGTCCTCAGTTCCCTATCAGCGATTGAAAATGCTAACCTCAGTAAAATTTTTGAAAAATAAAATATTTTAGTTTTTTGAAGCGGGTGTCAAAAATTCCGTAATTTTGAGCTGATTACCGGAAAAATAATTTTAAAATTATTGTAGAATATTTTTGGTATACAAAATAATTTTTAGTGGATTGGAGAGGCATATTATTTTCTCTTTTTATCGAAATGGATATAAAAATTATCGTAATTTTTAGCTCATACAGAAACTTATTTAAAAAATTGTTTGGCACTTGATGTAGTCCATTTCAGAATTTTTGGAATTTTATTTGCCCCTTATAATACCATTTTTGACACCCAACTCGAAAAGTTTGCAGAAAATGTTTTTGAACATATTGTACTGAGGTCAAGATTTTCAATTGCAGTTAGGGAACTGAGGACCTTTTCAATTATTTTTTTTATTTTTCTCCTTTTTAGTACATTGAAACGCACATATTTATGTACAAAGTGGTCCACTAGTGTACATATGTATGTATGTACATATACGTAACAAGCAACATCCCAGCTAGCATTTTCTTTCAAAAAAGGATCTTCCGCGATTGGAGGTGGCGCTTAAATTAATCTTCCACGATATCGTATTCCAATTACGAAAGTTCAACGCAACGGGAGTAACTGTGTCACAGCCGCGACTCTTCTCTATGAATCGTCTACGATGTGTTAAAAAGAGTCTTGACACAATCGTCTTAATGAATCTTCTACGATGCGATAAACAGAATCTTTACACAATCGTCTTAATGAATCTTCTACGATGCGATAAACAGAATTATAGAAGAGTCTTGGAACGATCGTAAAGAAGATTTTAATTGATCCTAAAATGCCTAAAAATATGCTAAAAATAAAAAGTATTGATATTCGTTTTATACTGTTTATTGCATTGGCATTTTTGTCAACTTTAAATAAAAAACAAAAATAAATATAAATTTGAATTCAATTATGAAAATAAATACATACATATGAATAATGGAAATAATTATGCAATAGAAAAATTATTAAAAAATAAAGTTATTTTTCAGCCAAATCGTCAATTTTCTTGGCTTCATCAATCTTTTTGGTTCGGTCACTCTTTCTGAGACGGTCACCAGCATGAACAAAATGTTGTTGTAATACCTTATTTATACCTGCATCATCAGCTTTCGGAAATTTTGAATGGCAGACACCATTAAAAAGAAAATAATTAGAATTCAGTAAAATCATGTTATAAAAAATACTTACTTGTTATAATTTTCGTTATATTGAATTCCTGAATACTGGGCTTACTGTTCGTTCCACGCCAACTCAATTTTGCAGCCACATCATCGCTCAGCATTTTTTTAATTGCATTCCTGACAAACGAGTTGGAGCTGTCGCCACCCACTTTACCAATAACGTATTTCTGTAAAAATTTTGATATGAATATATGTATATATGTATGTTTATATTAAAAAATATGTATATAGACGGATAATTATACACATACCAATTGAGCTACAATATCCACGTTCTCTTCTATTTGTTTATGTAATTCTTCCAACTGTTTTACAGTTTTACTCGTTGACCACAGTTGTAGTTAACCCGTGTTTTACTGTCCAAAGTCTAATTTTCTCTTTCACACTTTCATTACTCGGCCAATTCACTTCTTCTATATATTCAACTGGAAAATTATCGCAAACGGATGATGTTTCAGTGAAATCCGATTCAACCAATTTTTCGAAAGAACTGACTTTCATTGGGACATCATCGCAATCAGATGTTTCCCTGCCTTTAACTTGTTTTTTGGATGATCCCACTTCATTATAAGCAGACTCCATCATTGCTTTATTTGATAGCATTATAAATTATTTTATATTATAAATTTAATTTTTGATTTCTAATAAAACACTTTTTAGTTAATACACTTAGTATTTATAAGAAACTTTATTAAAAATTAAATTTTTAATTTAATAAACTTCAAAAACCACTTTTTATTCTTACTTGTCTCGACACTGATTATAAACTGAGTTGAAAAGAAGACAAAATAATTTGTTTTTGCTAAACGTTTATACGTATAACGGTAAAATTCGCCCAACTATCTCCAGAATCCGTAATCGGCGATTGTTGCGTAATATAAATAAACCGGTTTGACAATAATATATGCATCATTTGGAAGA